GGGGGGCAGGGGAGGGTATCGAGTATCTCAACCTGTCTGTCTGCTTGCTGCTTGGGGCATTGTATCTGTCTCAATAACGACAGGTCAGCGAGTGATACTTGGGGTTTAGTCTGAGGTACTCCAGTTCCGGGTAGATAAGCTGTGGGGAAGTTTGATACATTAATGGCTGCCAAAGTGTGTTGATTTCCAAAGCATTAGAGTTCTTGGAAAGTGAAAATGTACATTTGCTGTGCCTTTAATCAACGTTTCTCTGTAAAATCCACGCAGAAATATGATTTTTAAATGGACACTAAAGGTGTTGAGCCACACACAAAAAATCCCCCCAAAAATTGGTCAAACTGGTAGAGTTTGTTTGGGTTTTTTTCATTTTTAAATTTGGCAAAAAAATTATAGATCTATGCCCCGAACAAATAAGCCACAAACCATTTTTTAAAATCATTCCTGTCACACTTATAAAATATTGAGACACATCCATTTACCTTCCTTGATTGCAAACGCACTGATCGGGTCTCTCCTTTGAAACATAATATTCAGATCCTGAAATGTGGAAGTAGAACTTGGGCAATCTACTTCCTCCCTGTCTACCGCCCAGACAAAGCCGTATCATATGTGTGAGGCAGCGTGGTGGAATCAGGATCTTGTCAAAATAATCAAAGTGAAGAAACTTGCATTTTTCCGCAGGTTTGTGAATTTTTATCAAATTTTTGTTTTTTGGCAAAACACCTTTCATGCCCATCAAAGAACGCATTTCTGTGTGGAGTTTCCTGAAAAGCGTTGATTAAAGGCACAAAAAATTTTAATCTTCAGTTACCACGGACTCTTAAGCTAAGGAAATAACTAATCTTTGGCGGCCATTTTCTCAGTAATTTTACCTCTGAAAACAGGTGACCCCCGCCTCCTTCTTTTGCAAATATCTCGACTTGTATTCAAGATAAATGGATATTATTTTCATCCAAATAAAGACAAGTGAACAAGCTTTAAGATGATACCAATAACTCTATATGCCCAAAAATTGACGAGAGCCTGATTCCACCACGCTGCCTCACATATACTACTGTAGGATCGTCTTTTTAGACGCAAAAGGCTATGTATATTATTATACAATGCAGTCTGGAGTATCTTGCTTGCAAGGCTATATATCATTTTGTTAAATGAGATAGCTGTGGGTTCAAACGAACGATCTATTTCTGTGATGTTTCGCGCACTATACGGAAGCTATGTCTATGAATTTTGTCTTTTAAAAAGTACTCACCTACGAGCGTACGTTAACAAATTTATCAGTTAGTTACACGATGGTCTACAATTTTGATTCAGTCTGCTTTAAACTCTGATGAGCAGGGGACAGCAAAACAAGCTCTATTTTGGCCAGTGGAAGATGTGCATAAAATTATGACCATTAAGTTTTCTTCACGCATCATAAAGAAAACTATTTTGGAAATGGAGCGGCAATTGCAGTAACCTTTAAGTAACTGAATCTCCTTCTTCTTCTACTTCTTCTATCCCGTGGTTGGGGCGACCTTGGGGGCACCACTGCATCTGAAAACCAGCTCTCGCCATCTATTTTTGTCCTCTGCTTTCCTCAGATTTTCCCCCATCGTCTTTCCTGTCCACTCTGTAATGTTGTCCTCACATCTCCTTCTCTGCCTTCCTCTCTTTCTCTTTCCTTGTACGTGGAGTAAAAAACCGAGCTGAGACGATAACGGGTCGATGACATTCAAATAGGAAAATTGTGGGACGAACAGTCGTGGCGGTGGATGGTTCTAAATGTGGGTGGGGGCTAAGAAATGAGGGTAGGTTGAGCTCAATGGTAAGATTTCCTTGGTTCAGAAGACATTCTAGATGCGTGGGTATGTTTCATACACACACTCACACTCAAACGCGCTCATTTGACGTAATGCAGTTGTGAGCGCCGTAAAACACTTACCAAAATAAAATTTAAAAAAACTACACCCAACATCACA